TCCTGTCTTAGACAAAGCTCTGACTAACATCAGTGAGATCTTTGGGTCAGAAGAAAGTAAGTAGAAGACTTACAATACAGCTGTATAATTAAAAACAGAATCTTGGCTACCTCCAAGAGCCAGGTGAATTCTTTAATTGCAATGCATTAAGGTACAGTCACAACTAATTAACATCATACATCACTAAAGCAATTAATGGTCATTCTGTGAAGTGCCTTGCATCATGGTATGGTTTATACCTCCCCCAGGACTCACGTTTGACTTGGGTAAATGATGTCTCTGTTGCCTATCTCCAAGCTCTCGCCGTAGCCCAGGTAACCTGGCACGGAGGATTAGACCTCTCTGATTCAAGACATCAGGTCATTAGGGGATGTGATAAGCTAGCAAATTGTACAATTATAGGTTGTAATGTTTGTCCGTGGAGGTCTGCATTTCCTAAACACTACTGTTCAATTAATAGGTTTCCGAGGGAGCTTGGCTGATGTGTAGGGTAGCTCTTCATTTAATGCAAAATACAAATGGTACGAGTCTCTGTGACGCCAGTACAGCATCCTCCTCCACTAAATCTCTTACTTCACTCCCCTCCTCACCAGCTTTCCTTCCTTTCTTGTCTGCCTGTCTCTAGTTAACCATTCTTCTCTTCAGGATCATCTTAGAGAAATGGGGAAGGAAGATGAAGATGGAGAAGTCTTTGCGTCCCTCTGCATCAGCCAAAATCAACTCTAGATTCTAAATCAATACTAGAGGCAGAAAGCTCCTATTATCATCAGGTTTTAGCTGACATTATATTGTCCCATGAAACAACAGTAACAAGAATAACCCAAGTAACTAAGACAGTGCAAACTTACTCCTTGGGAAATGGGATAGGTTGAAGCAAGCTGGCCAGTGCTGGTCTCCAGTCATCATAGTCTGACCTGAAAAATGAACATTTTATTAATAAGATAGATACCAAGTATTGAGTATGGTTTGTCAACAGTTAGTTCAAGGAGTCAAAAGCTTTTTACTGCAGGCACCAACAACCCTTCTGTTTTACTGAGACACTCTAAAGATCTATGGTGACATTTCCCTTTCCATTTTCAGCACATTCTCCACTGAGGCACAATAAATCTGATATTTACAATGACCTCCAGAGAGGCCTTCTTTATGTCAACTTAAAGACATTTGCTGTTTATGAAACCTGTTGACATTTAATCACTAAGTAATACTTTCATCTAAGTTGGTAAAGCAATTACCAGGCCATTGCTATTTACAGCTCTGCTCTGCATTTAATTGGAATTTTTTTTTTTCTGTAAGACATAAGCCCATTTGTAAAAACAGATACACACACCCCCCCCCCATTTTTGACCTTGGCACAAAGGAATGGGTCAGTTTAAACAGTACAAAGCTCTTAGCTTATGAGGGAAGAGACTAGGGAAGGAAGCACTGTCAAAATTATTAAGAGTGAAAGAGGACAGATGAGGATAATCACAGCTGAGAGCTCAGACCAGTGGACCCTGTAAGAAGTGTCTCCTCTCCGTTGTGTCAGCACCACAGATCCCAGCTGATGCATTTTGTTTTCATCTCTGCTGTCAATATACAGAACTGTCCTTCTACGAGGAGCCATCCATAAGGGGATGCTCATGTGAACTAGGATAAAGAGAACATTTTGCTTTACAGCATGCACAGGTCAGTGCAAACTAATGTGCAGCGTATCATCTCAATCTACCTGCAAAATGCCAGCTGCTCGAGCACATGTGGTGAAGCAGGTACAGCCTCTCATGTAGGAATGGCACTTGGCACACTTCCGCCCCTCTCCTTCTAATGATCTCAAACATTTAGTGATTAGTTAGCACTAATTAACTGCCATACCAATGCACTGCACAAAGGCTACAATCGTTGTAAGATGGATGAAGTGACGAACACAGAAGGTAAGAGAGTTTGGCAACTCAGCACCAAAACCGGGCACGGAACACACCAGCCAAACCCCGGATCCTGGCACTGCCTGCTAGGCCACTCTCAGTCCAATTAATACCAATGAGTACACACAGAAGTAAACGCAGTAAACCTCATATGGGGTGAAACACCTTGGGATGTCTGGAGAAGACAATGTAGAAGAGCCTACCATCTCCTCCTACTGCTGAAGGATTTCAGTTTTAAAAGTCAGATTATTGGCTGCGGCTTACTGCAAACTTGACACAAAAGTGTGGTGTTTCTTTAGGAAGGAATGAAGTGTAATGTTCTCAAATGGGCAGTATCTACTGATAGCATTAGAAACAGACAACGTATGCACAGGAAGTGTTCCAAAATAATGCAATTTTTGCAAAGAGAAGGTTCTAGCCCAAAGAAATTGAAGATGGATGCATTTCCAAAAGTCTCATCCATTTTTTGAACAAATAAAACAGAGATTTCCATAAACTAATAATACACGTGATGTTGGACAGTCCACAAAGGCATGTTCATAGACACAAAGAAAACTTATGTGCATGACCAGCATTCTTAAGAAGCAATGCAGAGACATTTTAATTGAAGGGATAATCATGATGTAAAAATCAACCAGGGAGGCAGTTATCACTTGCCCAAGAGTAGTATGAGTTCAGGTTACAAAAATATGTAACATCTCATGCAAGTAACCAATCCACAAGAACAACTATGATCTGCTAGTAGCTTAATGTATTAAAAAACAGATGAATGCCATACAAAAGCACTGTGGGATGGGTTAGTAGCTCTTCTTCCATACTGCTGTGCAGAAGTCCCAAGTTCAATACAGACACTTTTCTTGCCCATGCTAGGTGCAACCAAGCACAAAACTAAATGCCTATAATTTCGATAGGCAACTTCAGCAAGTAGTCCTGCCCTTTTCATGGGTGCATTACCAGATAATCCTAGCACGTACTTTCCAGTTGTTTCTTGGAATCCCTCTACCAAGAGGCCAAGAACCACAACATCGTGTTGAGTTCAGGGAGATGTCTCCTCCCCCACCTGCGGTTGTTAAACAACCATAAAAGCACTTAGGTACAAGGCTGGGGCTTAAAGGCAGGCAGTTCAGCAATTGAGGTGGCACTGGCTAGGCAAAAATCTCAGTGATGTTTCTCTTCAAAACACCAAACAAAGAAATTTGAGAGTCTTGGCTATTTCCCCTAATAAATGCAACTTGTTTATTTTCCTCTTGTTATCTTTAGCACTTGAGGCACGAAGCATAGCGCATATGAAGCTACTGTAATCCAAAAAAGAAACCTCATGCCCATGCCAGTTGCGCTAGAAACCATTGAGACTAATTTTCTCCTCCATCAAGAATTCTGTTCTCTGGCCTAAATTAGGAGCAACTCTGAGATAAGGGGTGTCACACCAACCTAAAGCAAGCATGAGTCCATTGCAGATAGAGCACTTTGTGATCACCCATTCACAAGGTTCTTTCCAGAGACAAAAAACCCTTATGTGCTCAGACACTGAACAAAAAAGGAAGATGACAAACTTTGTTTAGTACCTCAGAACAGCAAGACATGAAGCAGGACTTTATTACAAAGATTTTTTTCCCACTTTGTCTGTGTAAAGCGAGTATCGTGAAACACCTGAGGATGAGGCTTGTCATATAAACTGAAATAAGTCAAGGAAACCTCTGACATAGCACCTCTAAGATGAGCTCTCTGGGTTCTTTTAACAAAGCTTTGATTAATTAAGGCTCTCTACAAGACTATTTGTTGTTTCTGACCTACAGACAAATTGAATGGATCAGTGACACAGAACTCTGACCTGTGTTCAGACTCATCTGAAAGTCTCTTGCTTACCTACCAGGTCTCTGTAGGAGACAGACGATGCAACATATCTATAGCTGCAGCCATGAGAAGTGCCAGGTCTGATCCACACAACCTGTGTTTCACTACATTTGTTAGGTGTGAGAACATAGTCCAGACCACAAGTAGTAGTCTGACTTTGAGCCGGCACCATACTTCCACTCAAACATCCACTTCTCTTTAATGGCTTTAAACTAAAGGGGGGTAGATTTAGACTAGATACAAGGAAGAAATTTTTTACGCTGAGGGTGGTGAAACACTGGCACAGGTTGCCCAGAGAGGTGGTGGATGCCCCATCCCTGGAAACATTCAAGGTCAGGCTGGATGGGGCTCTGAGCAACCTGAAGATGTCCCTGCCCACAGCAGGGGGGTTGGACTAGATGACCTTTAGAGGTCCCCTCCAACCCCAACTATTCTATGATTCTATCTCTGTACTCAGGATGTTGTGTGCTCCTCCTGTTACCATGTACATCCCCAGAAGCAGTCAGTCCTGCAGTGCTGTCCTCTCGGCACCACTGCTGTGCCCAAGCCCTGGAGAGCTCATGCATGGACCTCAGTGCCTGCGCTTGGGTCCTCAAAGAACTGACAAGTCTAATGAGCAGTCTTTTTTTTTTTTTTTTAAATATACATACCCTTTGGAAATTCCTACTAAACCCAGTAGCTGATTTTACTCTAAAAATGACACATTTTTATTGGTAAATAAACAACTTTAAGAGCAGATTTTTGAGCAGAAGAGACCTGAAAGCAAAAAGGCTGAGTTAGGAAATTCAAAGGTGTTAAAGGTGTTTCACATCACATGAGATAAAGCACCTACAAATCTTTCCTAAAGAAGCTTAAAAGCTGAGACCCACTTGGAAGCTTAGTTCCCGTGACATCTCAGGTTAAGTGTTACACCACTAAAATTCCTCCTTGAGCAATCTGGAGAGTTGTGATTAGTAATAATATGAACCAATCAATTTTTCATGGCTGAGCTTCAAAGGAAATTGCAAGAGGAAGAAAAAAGCTGCTTTGTAAGACTAAGACCAAGTGAAACACTGCAGACAGAATTGGACAGTATCACTCTGACTTTTCTTGAAGCTGGGAGTTACGTATGGCATCCATTTGCAGAGCAGGTCTGTGAGAGGGCAGTGAAAATGAACCATAGACTGTTTTCCTAGGAGGACGAGAAAGAAAGAAAACTGTTTCCCTATGAAATATATAGAGTTTGGTCATGTGAATGGGACCTGAACATAAAATCTACACAACCTGTAATCCCTTCAATCTGAGCTAGGAAACGTGAAACAAACATAGCACAAGAATAAAACTAAACTACTTATTAAAAGCCTACGGTGTTTCTCCTCCTCCCACCTATTCCCTTTTCAAAAAACATTTTCCTTCTGTCTGTGCTCATCTCATCTGCACTCTTTCATTTCAGACAGTTGCTTTTTTCTTTTTTTTTTTTTTTTTTTGTCCATTCAAAGCTCTAACGCAAGACAGAAATGTCTGAAGCAAGGAAAGAAAGGGAGATAGATTAGCTCTGGCTGCAGTTAACAACCACCGTGATGAGCCAGACAAAGAGGCCATGCCAGGAGGAGGAGGGAGCACAGGGCTACAGGGAGAACTCAGGAGAGTGCCTGTGACAAACTCCCTTTGGAGCTCTTCAAAGGGTGCTGGGCTGAATGCTTATGCTCATCACACAGCTTAAATCCCAGGATTGGCCTTATAAAAGCAGAGGGGGAGAAAGTCTCCCTGATGTACTCACTGGCTCTGATTTTTGCAGGATTTGCAATTTCAGGGGAGTAGCACAGCAGTCAACCTGCAACCCAGTTCCTCAAAAAGTGTGCTAGGCTGGGGGTCAGGGTGCCAAGCGGGTGAAGGATGTCAGAGCTGCTACTGCACACAGCTTTCCTTCCCCAGAACCCTTTTTTAGAGGATTGGCCAGAACATTGGCCAGCCATTATAATTAAATAATCCCCGACTGCAGTAACTTTGCCTTTGGGCCATCGTCGCTATTGGCCTGCCAACATAATACATTTTCCTTCCCCAGGATCACCTTTCACCAAAATGAAAACCTGCCCGTATGTCATGTGCCGCACAAACAATCCAAAACATATTAGCAGCCCAGGGCAACCCTGATAAACATGACATAAGAGAATCCTCTTGGGGTATTCAGAGCATGCCACTGACCTATTGGGGAATGCAGAGAAGGCAGGGGAAGCTCCAGTGGGCGCTTGATTTTGGAAAGCTGTCTGTCTTATCACCAAGAGACTGCAAGCCCCGAGTCCTCTGTTTTTAGAGGATAATAAAGAGACAAGGAGCAACTACTTGGAAGTGGCCTGTTTCTCCAGACTGAGCAGCTTGGCAAGATCAAAAAAATCTTTTAGGTAACTCCTCTGTTATCAGACAATAATAAGATGACCAAGCCCCCCAAACGTGTACCCTGTCCCTTCTTTCCCTGGCTCTAGGTCCAACTCCTCTGAATTGTATGACACAAGGTTTAGCTCTGGGCTCCAAGGCAGGCTGAGAAAAAGCCCCATCAGACCCCCTGTCATATAAGGCACAAATCTGCAAAACAGTGAGATGTCTTTTCATGTTCAGCCTTCTTTTGAGCTGGGCTTGTTTGTTTTTTCAAAAGAAGAAAATTTAGCACCATTGAAAGGCCCCAGAAAGGGCCTGCCCTGGCTGCTGAGAACAGAAAAGGCCTCCACTGCTCACAGTTGGCATGGTAGCATCAGGAAACAGCAATGCAAGTTCGCCCAAAGGAGCCGACTCTCCCCTGGTCACACAGGCACCGGAGAGGGGTGCAAGTGTTTGGGCACCTGGAAGGACCCTTGCCACTACAGGCAGCCATGGAAACAAAAAATGACACAGAGGGGTGACAGCTTACGATACAACATCATCGCAGCCACAGCCTCCCTAAGAGGTGTCTGTTCTTGCAGCCAATTTAGTTTGCTATTTGTTGATCTGGATTTCACTACAGGGACAGTTTAAGTGTTCTCCCCATATGCTGGGTGTTGCCAGGGGAATCAGTGGTCACCTTCAGGTGACACCCAGATTTTGGAGTTATCCAGTCCAAGGAAAAGGATACACGGCCCCTTTTACAACAATTTCTCTAACCGCAGTTGTGCTGTGCAAGCACAAGTTTGGCTGTACAAGAAATTCTCTAACGCACGGAAACATTAACATGCAAGTAGGAGCTGGACAAGGCTAAGCAGCTCTCAGAGCCTCTGATTTAATATGATGAACAGAAAGATTTCAATTAATTTAGTGCATTTTCTACGCGCCAGTTTAAGACTTGTAGCATTCAGAAGGCACTGACTGGCATCAATAACGGTATCAGAGTCCAGAATGCATTAGAGAATATTGACACAGAAGTTTGATCCACTTTTGAGTGCAGGACAAAAATACCATGTTCCACTAGAGACTGTGCCTCCTTTAAAATCTGCCCAGACTTTGGGTCATCTGCCAACATCTTTAAAACCATGATTTTCTGTTTTCCTTTAGTATGCAATAGTTGTGTTCTGTTACTCAACTACATTAGAAAAAGGGTCGAAGACGTTCCTGGTGCTATGATAACAGCCACACAGATAAACTTTCTAATCTGCTCATTTAGCCTTACACTCATTGTGTAGGAGTTAGGTGAACAGTAAAATGTCCTCTGCCGAAGATACTGTTAAGAATTATTTGCTAGACTTCCAACAATTAAAATCTGCCTAAAGAAATTGCTCCCCGCTGCCCTAAGTTAATTATGTAAAAAAGATATCATTGTTGGTGACTCTCTTGTTTTGATGATGATATTGAGTCAGACACCTAAAAGAACAATTAAATTCAATGCTAAGCAACTTATTTATGTTTGGCTTACCACTGTTATTAATAAGAACATTATTTTAGTGACTGCCCGCTGAGAGCTCAGCTCCTGGATAGCAGTTGTTTTATAATTAATGTTTTCTTCCTACTGGCATGTTCTTCAACTCTCTCTTCATATTTTTGGTTTTTCAAAGTACAGTAATAGTAGTACATCAGAAAGCCTTTGTTGAAGAAGAGTTTGAGCATGCAAGGAATCAGCATCACAACAGCATTACTTTCTTTTTTGTTAATAACTACTAGCCCTTCTACAATGCTTTTCAATCACTGGTTTCAGAGTTTAAAAAACATTCAATATCTTTACCTATATTTTAAGGATAAAGAAACTGAGGCACAAAAAGAAGTGACTTCTGTAAAACCTCCTAGGAAGCCAGTGGCAGAATCAGGAGCAGAACTCATTTCTGCATTAATGCTTTCAGGTCCAAAAAAAATCAAGGGATGAATAGGAACAGAAGGGAACCCAATTCAGCGGAGCTACAATATATACTAGCCATGGCTCTGCCTTAGAAATCATCCTATATTCTCATAGGTTGTGATTTCTCAAGCAGGGTGTGGAATCTGGCAAGGCAATCTGAGGAGAGTTGCACCAGTTTTGCAGTATTGCTGGTCCTTCACTATACACATCCTGTGGGTTTCACCCTTCAGAATTACCATTGTACAAGCTGAAAAAGGGCACAAAGCTGCTCCACACCTACAACCTGTGCAATAACAATAACAGATTCCCATTTTCACTGTTGCTATTGAAGAGCTTGATTTTTAAAAAGACAGCAAACTCATCAAAAAAATACGTTATTTTAAGGTATGGAGTGAAACAGGAGTCCTTTGTGTAGGAAATTATATGGGAATTGAGACCTGGCATATCAAATGTTTAAAATGTGGAAAGACTGTGAGGGAGAACATGCCCATTCGTGAACTTGTTTATAAGTCTATGTCAGCTGCATGATGAAACCAAAACCATCAATGCTTAGTGAGTCAGCATCCAAGCCAGCATCAGGACTGAGAGAGTTCATAGTGTTTATGGAAAACATCTAGAGTCAAAGGAACAGGAATAAATACATGATGTATTTAATGTAGCACCTGGGTGCCTGAAGACTTAGAAGCCACCAGATGAAGCAAAGTCAGATGCTGTGCTTTTTTAATGCAAACATTTTAAAGGCAGAAGAGGCTAGGCCGGGGGGGGATAAAATTAGCCTTCAGCAACTTCCTGCTCAAGAATCTAATGGGAACAGTATCTTGGATTCACCTGTCTTGTCTCCAGTTCCGAGTGTGTGCTTATGTACGTATTTGCAAGCCAGCTCTGCAGTGAGTGAAAGAATCCTGTTGAAAATCGGTACTATGTATTTTGAAAAAAATGAAAATGTGGGACAAAACTTCCATAAAATCCTCCATCACAGCAGTTGGACTTCATTTAATTCCTCGAGAGTATACACTCAGATTTGCATTTGACTTCAGTGTAGCCACATGCTCGTGCGGAGTCCAAATTGCACCCACTGTGTCTTGTATTCTAAAAAACTCAACTATTACTTCATTAAGTCTTACATTGTTAAAAAATAATTAATGTAGAAACATAACAGTTTGCCCAAAGACATACTGCAACTCAGTAGCAGAGCTGGCTGTCAAAGTCAACAAAGGTGTTTTGGGTTGTTTTACTGCACTTCTATTATAAGCTTCCATTCTGCCGTCCACTTTTTGTGTTACTCCTTTTCATTTACTTATCCAGGAGAAAAAACAAGCTTTTCCTGAAAAACTTTTTATTTTATATTCCTCTTGAAGATATTAAAAGGATTTGTCTCCCAGGAAAGCATAGAGCCATCATTTTGTAAAGGCTATTTGAGCATTCATTCACTAATGCAGGTCCGCTGCACCAAAGCAACTGGTCGACAAATTGAGGCTCCACTCTAATACAAGTAAATCTGAACAAGTCATGAAACTTCTACAAACATGTGAAGGGAGAGCACCTTAGTGAAAGACATTGACCTCATCCAACTGCTGAAGCCAGGGGAGCAGCACTGCCTGTCACTGCACAGGCACTGAGCCTAGCACAGACCTGTCTTTTCTAGCTCTGTCTCGGGCAATCCCAAAAGCCCCGGAGGAGACAAATGGATTATTTTTTTTTTTTGGTGGGCAAGAACAAAACAGAAACCACTGGCAACAACATCCCGTCTTCTACAATATGCCTGAGGCTCACTGTACAAATAAGCTTTCCGTTTTCATCTTCCTAATGCTATTTTTAGAACATATTGGCAGTGCCAGATGTCTCTTTCAAAGGCTGGACTCTCTAGAGCTGGAGTTAGATTTATAACCATGTGCTTGCTGGCCACAGATGTTAAAGATGACAGGCCTGTGGGAAAAGCCCCCCATTGTTAAGGTGACATTGTTCAAAAAGCTGTTTAAAATAGTTACTCACAGCATCTTGAGTATTTCAACATAACAGCCAAGGATCCTGTCTGCCTGGGCACTCAGCTCAATGCTTATGGTGCTGCAGGTAGGACTGACCATCAAGCAGTCAATCAGGTTGGGCTCACTGTCATTGCCAACGTTAGCTGTCATCTTCTGATTAGCTGTGTTGTTGCGCTCCACTTCCACGTGGATCTCATTTGAAGTGACAATAACTGGTTTGAGACGGGATTCAGTCAAGGTGGCCTCTTGAGAGACCAGGTCAGGACTTGTGTGAAGAAGGCGGAGGGGGAGATTAGGCTTTCGGTCACACTGCTGCTGGCAGCCATTCCGAATTTCCTTCAGGCTTGGCGAATTGTCTCGACTGAATTTTAAAAATAAACAAACAATTTCAACAGACAGACATAACAGCAGAGAGCAGGAGAGAGAGTGCAACACTGAGAAGCTGAGATCTTTTGCAATTTCCCACTGCATTTCACCCCAGCCCACCGGATTGCTTTCTCCTATGTAATCAGATTACTGAAATCAATTAAAAACATTAAAAGGCTCCAATAGGACTGTTCTGCAGCCCCTATTCTACAAAGATTCGAGCTTGTCATTACTCAATTGACATGCCAGTTTAGTACAAAGGTGAACTTTCCCATCTAAGCTGTGCAAAGCTGTAACAGAATCCATGCCCAAGTATGTATCTGGCTACAGTACATGCCCAGACATTTGTCTGCAGCCCTCACGTCTGGAATTTTTGTTGGACACTAAGTAGCCCCTGTCCGTGCTCTACCATGAGGGAAGTCAGATAGGCATAAACAGACAGGGAACATAGCAGAGGGGAACCCTCAGTGTCTACTGGAAACTGGCTCATGTGTCAAGAACTGCGGCATCTATTTTGCAGTAAGTCAGGAATCAAATTTTCCACAATAACGGAGACAGCATTGTGAAACCAGCTCAGGTTCAAAGCTGTAGATACACAGGGATTTACACACAACCCCTTCTTCAAGACCTTATACTTCCCTTTGTTTTAGGTGTAACACACCTCATGTGCCAGAAAGGGAGCAAAACGGGCACTGCTCTGGGTAGCACTTAATTCCCAGAGACTCTTGTGGAGCACTCTCATCTTCTGCTGGCCTAAAAAGGCTGGTTAGGGCTGCAATCTGCCTTAGAGGAATATCTCAACAGTGGCCAAGATCTGCATGCATCTAGCTGTTGAGCTTCATCCTGGAAGTTACTGCAGCTTGCAGTACTTCTGTACTGGGAACTGCCAAGCTCCTTGCATCACCAGCATTGCCCCCATTTTCAAGCATGGGAGCCAAAGGTGTGCAATAACAGATTGCCATGCTCACTGCCTCAAAACATGCCACAGTGAGTACAAGTGAATGAAGGTTCAGCGTCTTTCAGGTTTTCAAGCATACAAAGTGTAACAAATACAGTCACATATCTATGAAAACTTGCATGTGATTGACCAGAACTCCCACATGTAACGCTAGCAACGAGCAGAGTGAGAACGAAGACACGCTCTCACACACCCATACCATGCTCACACCAATCTTGTTTACAGATGCCACGGGTTTGGAAGTGAGTAACATGCGGTCAGCTGGGATTTCATACTGACCTGTTGATAAATTCCTCATAACACGAATAAATGGCTGCTAAGCAGACAGCGACAAGATTTGGCAGGACCCTGGGATGGGGGCATTGTCCAGTTGGACCATGCATGCTGAAAAACAAAAACCAAGATGACATCATTGTGAGGAAGATTTCTGTGGGCAAAAACAGTCAGACAGAATGGGGTGCCAGAACTGGATAGACAGCCTTGCGGAATCTTCAGAAGGGCCATAACAGAGAGTTATTTAAACCCTGTAAATCCCTACCCAATGGACCTATTTATGAATAAGGCTAAGCTGCATCCTCAGTTTATTTGATGTGGTATCTCTACAGTCCCCCCAAAATCTCACACATGACCGAGCATTATGTGGTCTAAAGTTAATAGGAATCTCTCTGTAGAGACTCTTGAGTCTAAATGTATGAAAAGAATGTACACACAGCAAAGTCCATGTGCTTCCAGTGTGTAACTAGGCAGAAAAACCTAGCCATATTTGAGAATTAGTTTAAAAAAAAAAAGAGAGAGACTTCAGCAACATTGCCTCATGGGCTCTTCCAATTTATTTGCTGTTTGCCAGTACCAAAAAGCACCAGCTACTCTTAACAGCCAGTAAAGAGATGAGCAGAGCTGGGAGAAGTAACACAGCGAAGCATGTACACAGGACTGGAAATACGCCATAAATTAAATATAACTAACCTATGAATAAACTTCTTCACCACCTCCATTCCAGCATTCAGCTCATTCAAAGCCAGAATATACTCCTGAGTAAAGAGCCGCAACCGAGGGCACTTCCCAAAATCCTGTCCAAAAAGGAGAGACTCAGTGAAGACGGTGAAACATGCCTGCAATGTATATCGAAACTGTGGGTTTTCAAAAGAAATCAACTCAGACACAACTGAATTCACTTTGTTATGCTGATGACAGCTTCAAGAGCACAGTATCACTGCATGCTGAAATAATGTTCTTCCCACTAATAACGACATACTTTCCCATTCTCCTCTTTCCCCCACGCCCACCTTGAAACAAAAGACGTGTTTAATGGAAAAAAAAATCCTACCTGCACTTACATTTCTTTTGTACACTTCACTTTATACCTTTATTTTGAAATGCGGTTTTTGTTGTTTTGTATTTTTGCTTCCACTCATAACTGCAGTTTTTTAGAAATGCAATTCAAAAATACTTCTTTACTTTCATATTTGACATCATATCTATTCTGGTTTTAGAGAAAATTTTTTTGACATGCGATCAATAAGTGATCAAGCATAAAACCAGAGATCAGTTCTTTCTCCAGCTACAACGTGAATTTGAAAGGTGAGCTCAACAGTCACTTTCTTTAAATCCTGCAATCAGAAAGGCACCTGCTAACTGAAATCCTGCATCTCCTCACATCACCTGCTATTTTTAGATGTGAAAGGAGTAAAATCTGCTGTCTGGTGAGTGTTATTCCACAGCACATTTCTTCACATTTACACAGGTGTAACCTTATTACACAGGTGTTACAGAACTACAAAGCTAAATTTCCAAGCAGTGAACAAGGCCCACTGAGGACAAACAAGCCCTCCCAGTTATCCCTCAAGCAGCTGGCTGTGGAAGAAGAGTAATCCTGAAAAAATAAATGGCAACTGAAATTTTAAAGAAATGACACAAGTGGTAACAAAATCATGGTCTGTAAAAGGGAAGATACACTCCCAAAGCACTGAAACCTTCTGTTACTAATTTTGGTTTCAGGCACTTCTATAGCACAACCTATATTAACATCTCATAGGTTTTACAGCTAGAGAAAATTACCAAAAAAGTGAATACAAGCCTAGGCAGAACAATGTCTCCTTCAAGTCTAAGTGTCACTCTTTGCTAGTACCGAATGGCTACCTGGTAACTTCACCCGGCAAAGGGACTGTGGGCGATTCCACAGTTGGTATTACAATTAAAATCATTAAACTTCTAACAACTCCTTCAGGCAGGTGCAAATACACTTGGTTCAAGGGCATGAGACCATATGTGCTTCGTATATCATTTGATGCCATTTAATTTCATGAACTCTCCTTGCAAGATAGCTTTTGCAGTTGCAATTTATGATTTCAGCCCGTGTAGCTGTCCTAACTGAAGTTAGAATGAAAGTCCAAGAGATCATAAAGAGGATGTCATTGCTGACCACTTTAAAATAAAATATCTCTCTAAATATAATATGATACCTTGTCACCATACCAGGTACATTACAATACACACTATCAATATTGTTTGCTCAAAAAAAAACCCCAAGATTTGGACTGAGCCCACAAACAGCTGAAATACAAAGGTACTGAGAGGTTGCTGAGCAGTCCCCAAACAACTCAGTATACAATAGTCTCCAGTCCTGCACGTAACTGGTAGTATCAGCAAGACAAAAAGCCATCCTTGTTCTTTTGAGATTTCAAAATTATAGATAAATGAAGCACTCTTCCCCTTTTTATAAGTGGGAAACTGCAACAAAACTTGTCATGAACTTATCAAAGACCACAGAGCAAATTAGCAGCAAAGGTGGGAACAGACAGCTAGGTCTCCTGCTCCAAGCACAGTGTAAAAAGGCCTCCTAAGGTTATGAAGTTTACTGTCAACAACACTGTCCCCCTAGAGGATAACTTTATTTACATGCACATACATGCATTCTCTAAAAAACTATTCAGTACAGAAGTCCCTGGAGAGCAGTAAAGTGCCCAAATCCACTCCAATTAATATATGACACCGTAAATTCTCTGACTACACACTGCAGTACAGACATGTTGATTTTCAATCTGCAAATGTTAAGTATGGTAAATATACCCAATTCTCTGAAGTTAACCAAGTACAAGCATTACACTATGCATTTAGATTTTATTTGAGACCCCTCAAGAGCTCTGCATGCTTTAAAAAAATCAGTCCGGAATCCAAGAATAACATTTACAGAATATTTCATTGAATACTACAGAATATTCAAAAATGTTTACATGTCTGCAGAGTGCAGGCACAGAGCCAGGAATACGACCTTTTTGCCATCTTGGGTTTTCTACCTCGTTCTGTAAACTCAAGGAGTTAAATAATAATACTGTTGTAAAAATAAGAAATATGAACTGTTTTCTACTGGCTTCATGCTGTACACAGCAGGACAGCGGATGGTCTCTAAAATTATATCAGTTAGTGAAAAGAAGTTGATTGTGTAGTTACAGAGGTATGAGACCCATCCTTGAGATCACAGCCAAGTCAACTGTCTTAAATATTTTATTTTATTTATTTGTTACCCTGCCACAGCATTGTGAAGTAAAATTTCTTCATATAACTTAAAAACTATGGCAGAAAACTTAATATGCCACAAAGGATGGAGGGCTGGTAAACACTCAGACCTCTCTTAGGAAAGGAATATGGATCATGTAAGAATATATTCAGGGTCAGGGGGGAAATCTGGTATATGGGGTTGAGAGTGCAAAGCTGGCAGGGCAGTCTTCTAGCATTTATTTCAATCACTAGCAAGGAATTGATCGGCAATGAGAAGAGAGAAAGCAGCCTGGGAGAGAGCAATCATAAAATGACAAGAGTACATGATTCCTGGAACGAGAAGGAAGAATAGCAGAAAAGCATAAGGAAATTTGGGAAACCTAGGTAAGAATTCATTGGACATGAGTTTAAAGAAAAATGGAAATCCAGAGAGCTGGGGTGTCTTACAGAAAAAATGTTCAGGGCCTCAGCTCAACATCAACGAAGTCCCTACTCTGATTTTGTTATTTAATTGATTTTAAACCATTATAACTACAAGGATGGCATGCAGGGAGTAAATAAGGAGCCAAAAGCCAGGTGGGAGAGAGCTGGAGCTGCATATGCTGGCACTGCTGCCAAAAGAAATGTTCCTCAAATCAGGGCTTTGCTTAGATGATTTTTAAAGTCCCACTGAATGCTTATTTAGTTCTGCATTTATAAAACAACACACGATTACATGCAGCATTCACAGTTTGGGGGGTTAAATTTAGATATCACAGTGCTTTGTGCATTACAGGCAATAGAGCAGCTGCTAATTATGAAAGGTATCACAGTAAAACTTCTCCAAACTGACCAAGTTCCCGTAACATGTGCACTCACCATGTTGTGTTTGAGAATCCTCTGTACCACTGGTGTGAACACTTCTATCACAACCATGGACCGTGGGCGCTCTCGGCAGTGCTGTAATGAGCAACAAGTCATTTTGTAAGCTGCAGAAATTATGAAGATGGGTCTCCTCTGGCTTCACACCCCATGCATGGATTACCCCAAAATTAACAAGATCCACGGGCTAAATTAATCTTCCCTGGGATTAGGGTACTCATAACACTGCTCTCTCCCATGGATTTGCTGCCATCTAATAGAAGGTTACCATGGGAGCTCATGAACTACACGAGTTCCTTTCTCTACTGCCTATCCT